TCTAAAAATGTTCAAATTAGGCTAAAAAAACAAAATCAATTTTTCGATTATTCTCGATAAAAAAGTTATCGGACGATTTATCGAAAAAATAAAGCAAACTCGTACTGCGTATGGTACTCACGAGTATGCATGCCAAATTTCAGCTCTCTAGCTCTTATAACTTCTGAGATCGACGCACTCATACGGACGGACGGACGGACGGACGGACGGACGGACGGACGGACGGACGGACGGACAGACGGACAGGGCTATATCGACTCAGCTCGTCGCGCTGATCAAGAATATATATACTTTGTGGGGTCTGCCACGCCTCCTTCTGCCCGTTACATACTTTTTCACAAAACCATTATACCCTGATTTCCCATTTTCAATGGGTTCAGGGTATAATAAGGTGACCATGGAGAGTACTTCATATGACCGTGGAGAGCACTTCATATACCAAATATGCGAATGAACTCAATAAGAGTCGAGAGTTAAATTATTCGAATTTCCAGGAATCTTTAGGGAGCAGAGCAGGAGAAAGTAACGAGAAAAAAAATACAGTCGAGTCTCGATAATTCGTACCCCGCTAAATCGAAAATCGCATTAAATTGTAAAGATTCTATCCCCTTGTAAGAAGTTCGTTCTCAATTCTCGATATCTTGAATTTCTGTGCAAATCGAATAAAATGGATCCCTGATCCTGAATAAAATATATAATATATATAAAATTGAGTGACCATATCTTTTGTAGGATCAGATCAAGAAAACCTAATCATGGACGTTTAACCATAACGCTTCATTCAAATATCCTGAATAAAAGCTACAAATTTGCTCATTCGAATGCCGACCAAGTGACCCAAAAGCGAGAGGAAAACATTGATATAATTTAGAAACTACGACACATATATTTTAATGCTAATTGTATTTACAAAAGCCGAGATAAAAGATTAGAAAATCGAGAGAAAAAAAAAACAAAAAAAAAGAGTAAGAGCTCGCGCAGAGCTCTTACTTTAAGTAGTAACTGGAGTGTGGCAACCCTGGCGATGTATAGCTGTTGATTGACTGCTGATTGAGATCCAGATTGAGCGAACCGAATGGCTTCAGATTGAAGCTGTGACGCTGGCTCAGTGTATCATCGTCTGGATAGTTGACCAGAAATGCGTTGGGATTCGGTTTGAAATTGTTGGGCTGCTCCAGGTAGGCAAAGGGATTGGGATTGGGCCTCGGATCGGGATTGGGATTCGGATCTGGATTGGAGTTGCCAGGCTGCGCCGTATCATCAATATCTTGCTCTGCCGCTGCGGCACCATCGCTGCGCACGTCGCCATCATCAGTCGCTGCTCCTGCGCCTGCGCCTGCCTCTGGCTCTGCTCCCTCCTCTGCCTCTGCCTCTGCCGCAGCCGCAGCCGCTGCGTTGCCCTCGATGAAACTGGGCTTAGAGTAGATATCTGCAAAGTGTTGGAGAGAATCCAATTGTACGGCAATTAGTTAAAAGTTTGCGTATTTTACCAGCGGGTTGTGCATACTGATAGATCAACTGATCCGCCAACTGAGCGGGCGGACGGCGCGCCGCTGGTGCGGGCGGTGCTGCTGGTGCTGCTGGTGCTGGCTGCGGCTGTGGGCGTGGTCGTGCGCGTGAAACCAGACGAGGAAACTGCGCTCCATAGTCGTAGTCGTAGTCATAGTAAAAGTTGCCCACAGGACGCGGCGAAGGACGCACGCGTCTCGGAGGCGGCGGTGGTGGTGCTGCTGTTGTTGGTGGTGGTGCTGGTGTTGGCGCTGCTGTGGTGGGTGCTGGTGGTGGGGCTGGTGCGGGTGCATCGCCATAGTCGTAATCGTAGTCATAGGGGCGTGGCCACCAGCCAGGCCCCGGGAAGAAAGGATGCGGTCTGCGTCGCGGTGGCGGCGGCGGCGGTGGTGGTGGTGGTGGTGTAGGTGGAGCTGGTGGCGCCGCCGTCGTGGTGGTTCGCATCATGGCGGGTCGTCGAGTCGTCTTGGCATTGACTATATTGCGAGTAATGTTCGCCTTGACGCTGGACAGATCGGCGCTCTTCTGCAGCAGATTGCGCAGCAGGAGGCCAAAGTCGAGGGTGATGGTGCCGCGCTTGGACCTGGTGTCCTCTTGGCAGCTGCTCGGGCAGACGGCCAGCAGGGCGAGCAGCACTACACAATAGCTGCACTGCATCCTGGCCAACAATGCGTTCGTGGAGTCTCAAGTCGTTGGAGTCAGTCGCTGGCTGCGCTCGCTAAACCGCGCTGTGTGGCGTTCCAATCAGAACTGGCGAACTGCCCGCTGGCTGCCTTGACTCGCGCCTGGGCGTTGCGGATTAAGTGGCCAAAAAGCCAACAAGTTAGACGGGTTCAACAGCCAGCCAGTCAGCCTCTCAGTCAGCCAGTCAGTCAGCCAGGCTAGCCAGGCCAGGCCAGGCCAGTCAGCGAGCTCTCTGTCAACGGGTTCTGTGCGTGGCTACAATTACTTTTGCACTACTTTTTTGTGGCACTCGAATAATTCGTGCGCAAGCCTCTGGCTGCGACCCCAGCAAAGCTCAGCACAGTGGGTCACACAGTGCCCATTGCTAACGGTAATCGGGGAGACATAAATTGTAGGGAGTGATCGAATGGAAGTTACCCTGGGTCTCTGTGCCCATGTGCCTATCTCTCTCTCTCACTCGCTCTCTCTTTCTATTTCCATCTCTGGATGTTACATATATCTAGTTCTGGGTTTCTCTCTATCTCTCTCTATCTATCTCTATCTCTCTATCCTCTTCTATATCTCTATCTATTTCTATCTCTCTCCTTATGGTAGTTAACTCTCTCTCTCTCTCGCACGCTCTCTCTCTCTCTCTCTGTTTATATATCTGGATGTTACATCTATCTTGTTCTGGGTTTCTCTCTGTCTCTCTCTCTCTCTCTATCTCAATCTCTCTATCTTCCTCTATATCTCTATCTATTTCTATCTCCCTCCTTATGGTAGTTACCTGGGTCTCTGTGCCTATGTGCCTATCTCTCTCTCTCTTTCTCTGTGACTTTAACTTTCACTCTCTCTCTGTCTCTCTCTCTCTCTTACTCTCACTGTATACCAATCTCTGGATGTTACATCTGTCTTGTTCTGGTTTTACCTCGCTCCCTCTCTGTCACCCTCTTTCTAACTCTCTCTCGCTCTCTCTCTCTCTCTCGTACATTCCCTCTCTCCCTCTCTCTCTATCTTTCACTACATCACTCTCTCTATATCTATTTCTATCTCTCTCCATATCTCAATTTCTTCTCGGACTGATTATGTCTCTCTTTCTTATTTTATTCGTATTTCTTTATCCTGACTCTCTGCCTCTCTTGCTCTTTCATTCTTTCTGCCTTTATCTTTATACTTCTCTATTTATCTCCTTTTCAGTCTGTGTTTCCCCAATAAAGTCTATCTTTCCTGTTCTGTTCCGCATCTCCAACATTTCCGTAAACTCTCTCTCACTTAATCTCCACTGTCACTCAACTCTCTATGTATGTTCTCTCTCGTTCTTCCTCAGACTGTCTAACTCTATCTATCGCTCTTTCTGAAGCTCTCCATCTCTCTCTTTCTCCCTCTCTCTCTTTCTCTCTCTCTCTCTCTCTTTCAATGCTGTCTGATCTAAATCTTATCCAAATCTATTTATAAAAAATTTCAGTTGCTTCCGTCTCCGTTTCCATTCCATTTCAATGGACTTGGTACCACGGTGCGCACACTGATTATAGTGATACATATGCATCAAATTTACTTGAAGCTATTATGACTTTTTTAAAGCCAACTTGTTGCACTTAGTTTTAATTTAGATACCCTGTGAAATGCGTGTGACAAGTGGCATGATAGACCAAAGAGTGTGAATGATAAATAGATGAGGTATATATAATATATAGAATATTGATTTGTATATGTAATATATTAAATATGTAAAAATCGACTCAGAGTTAGTCGCTTATACCTAAATACAAAGATAGATAGTAATTTGTATTTTCAGGGTATTCGTGCAGTCGCATATGCACGCAATTAGCACACGCTTATACGTACAGGTTATGTTTATGCATTTGCTTAGCAATTAAAGGCCTTTACTTTTAGTTAGGTGCACTCGAATCGAACCGAGATATGTGTATATGTATATACCTCTACATATAAGATACATACATATATACAGATAATAGTGTCAGAAAGATCTTGTTTGTTTTCACAGCTGAATTCGAATTTGATTTCCAAGTTGAAATTAATTTGATTGAAAGGCAGCCAGTGATAATTTGTACACATTCAGAGAGTTATAGATATATGTTATATATAATGGATACATAACTAAATCCAATTTAAATTGAATGTGCATGAGGAACAACTTGCATAAGCTGAAAATTGCATCGAAAGTCGAGCAGAAGTGGCGGAAAAATGGGGGAAAACTGGGGGAAAACTGAAATGAAATGGAGAGTTAAGCTGGTATGTCAGCCGTTTGCCATAGATATGTGTTCGCTGTTTTACTTTTCTTTTCGATTCATTAATTTTTCGTTTTCCTCGTGGAAATTGAAAATTCGTCAAGCGTTGCGTGTGAATCGCTAATAGACTTCAGACTCCAGATTTCAGCTCAGACCTGAGGCTTAAGACGCTTAGCGTCGCAATGCGCTCAACAACCTACAGGCTTACGCTTGACAAATGATTAAGAGACTCCGGCAGGCAGACAGAAAATGTGCTCGACTATGAAATACCCTAAGCTAAAACATATGTAATAACTTTTAGCCTTGCTTTGGCCGAAGCCGAAATTTGATTCATTTTGAGATATTCCAACGAAAGCAAAAGGTTCGCTAAGCTATGAAATACCCTCACTACATCATAGCTATAGATATTCCTAAATTAGCCTAGGCAGAAGTCAGACAAAAACTTTGTACAGAATAAAAAGATTATCTCGTAAAAAAAAAAACAATATAATGTACGCTTGCTTTGAAATACCCCAACTAAAGGTGTTAAAAAAATCTTGTAAAGGCTTTGAAAGAACCAGAAGCTGTAATCAATTGTGAAGTATCCTTAGCAAAGCAGAAGGGATAAAACCAAAGCAAAATTGACTTGACCGTGAAATACCCCATGAAATACCCTAAGAAATATTATATAGAAATACCATATGAAACAGTCTATGAAATACTCTAAGAAATACTATAATAAATAGCATGTGAAACAGTCTATGATATTAAATATCCTATGAAATACCCTATGAAATGCTCTGTGAAATACCCTATGAAATACCTTATCAGGGTAAGAGTGATGCGCAATCGACTATGTAATAGTTGCCCATACTCCAAAAGCAACTGCGCCTATTCAAATAATGTTAATGTTTGATACCTGTCAAGCCCTAATGAACAGCTTCCTTAATTTCTAGATAGATCTGTATTTCTAGCTAGATCATATTTAGATTCTACAAACCATCTGTCAATAAATTTCGATTTAAAATAGATTTGCAGCTTATCCAAACAGACATGAATATAAAACTTTGTTCTATCTTGACAGACTTTGCCACGCCTCTAGTAGGCGTCAATCCACTTTATGGTATTAATTGCAGATTATCGAAGCTCATATATTAAGATAATTTATACATAGATATAAAACCAATATACCAAACCACCAAACTAATATGCTCTGCCATCAATTGAAAACAGGGTATATGGCAAGGCAAACAAAGCCCATTGCAATTGCAGATTGGAACTAGTTATGGCAGTTGCCTAAGATAAAGATTTGAAATGAGACACATTAAAACAGTTTATTACCAAACATAAAACTCTATATACACGCATACCTTATAAATATCTATATACATATATACATAGACATATGCAAGAGCAATGAAAATATCATAAAGATTTGGTCCGATTTGAGCGTCGTTTGGCCTAAGCCTCGATTAGATTTTGCTGTGAGATGCTCGTGGGCGCTGCGATGACGGCCAGTGAGACGGTGGGCGTCACCGTATGGGGCTTTGGCGCTGTGGGCGTGGCACGGGAACGTAGCGTACGTATCAAGTGCAGCTCCACTTGAACAAAAGGCGCCTCCACGCAAAGATACATGAGCAGAGCGACGAGCAACGTAATGCCAAAGTCTGACCAAAAGTGCAGAATCTACCGAGAGAGAGAGAGAGAGAGAGAGAGAGAGAGAGAGGGAGAGAGAGAGAGAGAGAGGGAGAGTGTGGGTGAGTGTGATATGATTAGTCCCAGGCAAACACTCACTGCATCATAGTTGGAGAAATGTTGACTGCTCTTGATGCGCCCCGTGTTGGCCATCTCGATCAGCAGATGCCAGATGTAGAGGCAGTAGGAGAGCTTCGACACCGGCTGCCAGAATGACCAGCTGAGCAGGGTGTTGACCAGGCCGCCACGGCCGCTCTGGCAGGCCCAGATGAGCCAGCAGATGGCCAGGGGCCAAGCGATGCGACTGCAGCACAAATAGAATGCGCCAGCCAGGGGCGAGATCTCTGCGGCGCCTGGCCGTGTGTAGGGATAGACGCTCCAGATCGCCGTCGCAATGAAGAGCAGCGCCAGCAGCCAGAGCAACAGCATCAGCCACGCGGGGAGGCGGCGCCGGCGGCCCTGCTCGCCGTGCAGAAAGCAGCCAAAGAGCAGCCCGATCAGCCAGGGCATGGCACGCGCATGGGTCGTATAGTAGATCATGCGCATCTCCATGCTGTCGGCGCCCAGATTCCTGTCCAGGCAAAAGAGCTTGATCAATTCACATTGCTGCTCTGGACTTTGGCCAGCCGATTCACTCACCCCTTGCGATTGAAGACGGTCAGCTTGTTCAGCATTATGATGCTGAAGACGCAGCCGAAGAGCAGCGCAATCAGCAGGACGATTCCAGCCACAGCCCGACGACGCCAGCGGTAGAGGGGCCAGAGGAGCAGGGGGGAGAGCAGGAACAGCTGCATGTCCACGGCCAGATACCAGGCGTGACCCAGACACTGCAGAGGCAGCCAAAGCAACTGTTAGCTTGATTGATTGATTGATGGACTAATATGGATAGATGAAAGCATAACATGCAAGATTTTCCAGTGGAGCGAAAAAGTAATTAGGGCTATGTCAATCATTTCGGTTGATTAAGTGACTTATTGATTGACTGATTGATCAATCATCTGATCAACACCTACTACTAAGAAGGCAGAAAATCACAGATATTATAGAAAAGAAAACCAATCAAATGTTTAACTACCTACATATATACATATATAATTTTGATTGATTGGCTGATTGATTGAGTAACTCATTGACTAATATCTACAGCTGCGAAGGAAAGTAAGACGAAAACTATTTATGTAAGGCTATGGCCTTCATTTTGATTGATTAAGAGACTTACTCATTGACTGATATAGTTGATCAATCACCTGATCAATATGTACTACCAAGAAAGAGGACTACAAAGGTGTTATAGAAAAAAAGAAGAGCAATCAAATGTTTAACTACCTACATACATATATAATTTTGATTGATTGACTGATTGATTGATTGACTCAGCTGCGAACGAAAGCAAGACGAAAACTATTTATGTAAGGCTATGGCCTTCATTTTGATTGATTAAGAGACTTACTCATTGCCTGATTGATCAATCAACTGATCACTTTCTATTACTAAGAACAACGGCTACAAAGTTGTCATAGGAAATTAAATCAATCAACTGTTTGATTAACTATCTACATATATAATTTTGATTGATTGTCTGATGTCTGTCAATCAATCGACTCACTGACTAATATATATGTATATATAGAGCTGCGGATGGTGCATAGTTTAGACAACAAAGAAAACATAAATACTAATAAATATTGTGAAAGTTATCTGTAAGATTGAGCTTGATTGAGCACAGCTAAAGATTGACTGACTGAATGCTGTACATGGGCTACGTGCTTTGCTTGCTTGAGCATTAGTTGTCGATCTATAGTTAATATTGATTTCAGAAGCGCGCCGAAAACTCCTTCGGATCAGATGTTTTAATGGAGATGGAGATATTAAGCATTAATCCGATAAAAAAATTGGAATAACGAAAATCCATTAAAATTTGAGTCTACTTGCCATGCGACCCGCTGCAGCATAATTCTGGACGTAGAGCAGCGTCGCCCACCAGGTATCGTAGCACAGCTGTGAGGAGCTGGTGAACTGCTGCCAGAGCGGCCCGCTGTCCAGGCGAGGGAACAGCGTCATCAGGAAGAGCACAGCGATGGCCAGCACAGGTGTGAGGCGCACGATGCGATGCAGGTACATGAGCGGCACATTGAGGCGACCCGAACGGCTGTTCGAACGAGAGCGGAAGGCTAAAGTCGTGGCAAAGGAATCAATCAGTCGATGCTGTCCCTAACTCACCGTTCCAGCTCGCGCAGCGTCGACATCACGAGCAGCATTCCGCTGAGCAAGAAGAACGTGTCCACGGCTATGGTGCCGCTCTGCAATATCATCGAGAATGGCGTTTGCGCCCAGGCGATAACCTCGTAGCTGTTCACATTCGGCGCCAGCAGCAGGAACATATAGTCGTGCCCCCAGATGATCCAGATGATGGTCAGACAGCGTATGCCATGCAGGCAGGGTATCAGATGAATGCTTGGCCTCGATATCTTCATCAGCTGCCGCAGATTCTGGCGCAACGAAAAGGCAGCCAACAGTTTTTGGGGTCCTGAGGGATAAAGATAGATAGGTCTTATGTGAACATATTACAGATAATGTGATGTACCTATATGGCAGTAGAGCTTTACCAGCTTTAGGTATATATATTTGCTTTACAATCTTTAAGTTGTCAAGAGTTCTCTAGAAAATATTCTCTAAGGTTGGGAAAAAGAGTCTTCCACTACTTATATCTATAAAATTTGATTCTTTCTGCTTTAATATAATAATTAACAAGCGTATTCCAAATTTGAAATGGAATGGAATGGAAGGTTATATATGGAGGTTAAATATATTTCCATAGTTGCTAATATGCCCACTTGTAAACTTTTTTCAATGGGTATGCTTAGACAAAAATTGTAGAGTGAAATAGAGATGGGGAAACTGAGTACAGTTTTTTAGTAAAATCGGAGCGGATATGCGATAGGGTGGGAATGAAATTAAGAATTGAAAGAGAGAGGGAGAGAGATATGGGAAAAGATGAAGGATAAAGAGATAAGAAAGAGCGAGAGAAAGAAAGAGAGACTGATATGGGAAAATATGAATGATAAAGAGAGAAAGAAAGAGAG